TACATTATTGGCAAATACAGTTTTACCTGGATCTTAGAAAATGGATAAAGCATCTCATATTATTCTTGTGAAAAAGGCGGAGGGATATGGAGTAGGCGATAGAACAGTCAGAGAGATTTGTAATTGTTAGAACGGCTGGACTAACGGTTTGAGATCAGCTCAGAGGAGGTCTCCAGTGGAGTGCCCCAGGGATCTGTGCTAGGCCCTCTGTGGTTTAACATTTTGATCAGTGATTTAGAATAAAGCACTGATGGCGTGCACCTCTGGATCTGGGAGGGACAGTTAAGATCCTGGATGACAGAGTTAGGTTCCAAAAGGACTTGGGCAGGCTGGAACTCATTAGATGAAACTGAATAGGAATAAATGTAAAGTCTTATTCCTGGATACAAACAATCAAACTTATCAGTACAAAATGAGGGAGCTATGGCTAGACGATGGTTTGTCTGAAAAAGATCTGGGGGCTCTGGTGGACTGCAAGCCCAATATGAGTCAGCTGGCGAGAATAATAGCTAATGTAGCACTTTCAGGTTTGGAAAGCACTTCATTACATATATTATCCCGGCTCTTCCTCTCAACATCCCTGGGAGGTAGGTGCTCTTATAATCATGCCCATTTTAAAGACAAGGAAACTGAGTCTTAAAGAAATTAAATAGCTTGCCTAGGGCCACATAGCTGTAGTAAGTGGCTTACATGGGATTTGAACTTAGTTTCTCCTGGCTCCAGAGTCAGCCCTCTATCCAATGCAGTGCCCCCAGCTGCCTTAAGAGTATTCATTCTAGGAAGGCAACAATCCTGCTGGACTCTGTTATGAAATATTAAGCTCCATATCTGGACACCTTGGCATTGGTCCGCTGGAGAGCATTCATGCCATGTAAAGATTGGCTGAAGGAGGTGGGGGCATTTTGTGGGAAGAAAAGAAGATTTGGGGGGAGGATGGGCCCCCATGCTCTGGAAAGGCTGTCTTGAGAAGAAGGGAAGAACTTTGCACTGCTTAGCCCCAGAGGGCAGAGCCAGGAACAAGGGCTGGGGTGGAGTTAGAAAGCTTTCGCAGGACCTGCAATATGAAGAGAAACTTCCTAATAACAAGGCATCCAAAAGAGGAGGGGGCTGCCTTGGGGGTCTCCATCCTGAGAGGCTGCTTTTTGGGAATTCTCATTCAGATTAGACCCAATGGCTCCCTGGCCCTCTATGTTCTGAGGGTCTGTGATTCTGCACCCACTATTAGGGATCTGGAAGCTTCCCAAAGACTGCTCTGAACGACAGCTCATTGAGAGAAGGGAAAGAGAGAGAGGGGCTGACTGTCAAGCTGTTAAGTGGGTACCAAAGGGGTAGTAAGAGGTACCAGCTGAGAGACAGCCTGCTATAGCAGAGAGAGAAGCAACCTCTGGGCCAGGAACACCCAGGTTCACGTCGCTCCTGCCTCTGGCATCCACGGCCAAGTCACCTGACTTCTCAGTACTCCGTGATGCAGCCCATTAAGGCTTTAAGTTGTAGAGAAGGAGGGAGTTTCCTCTCTGGGAGCTCCCTAAGATAAAATCATAAACCTGTGATTTGTAAAAACAAACCCAGGTGACAAGAAGAAAGTGATAATCACCCACAAACAATCCCAAAAGCCAGCACTGGGGATTTCGTTTCCAGTAGGGTGGACAGTGGGAAGAATTCTGCAGTGTGAAAAATTTTCCTTTCTGAGGGAAAAGGACAAGTGACTGCTCTCTGATAAAAAACTGGGCTTGCCTCCCAGGAGGCCATATTCCAGGCCATGAAAAGAGGGGAGGGACAATGAAATATTCCTTAAGAAGATTCTCATATGAAGAAATCCAGGACTCCCATGAGGAGGATGGGGTTATGGTAAGAATGTGGTTAAGATCTACCATTGCTGAAACTGAAGCAATGCTGATGCTCAAATCCTGCACACCACCTGTGCAGAAAGAGGGTGGTGATGAAAAGTTCGGGAAACAGATTTCAAGCCTGGCACAGAGACACAGACATAATATAGTAGTGATGGGGGATTTCGTTCATGGAGACATATGCTGGAGTTCGCTGGAGTTCTCTGTCTCTGTCTCTCTGTTTCTGTCTTTCTTTGTCTCTCTTCAGAAGAGTGGAGGACAGGAGTCTTTTAAGAATGAAATTCTGAAGACCTAAAGAAAACCAGTCCCAATGAGGAGGTAAATGAGACCTATCTAAAGAGACCAATGAGGATCCCAACCAAGTGGGACTGAAAAGAGAGCTATACACAAAACAGAAGCAAGGGCAGGTAATAGAAGACAAACACAAGAAGCTGTCAAAGTCCTGGAAGAATAGCGTCAGAAGGATTCAAGCTCAGAATGAGCAGAAGCCTAAGGGAAGCCAATCAAAAATGCGATCTTTCTGGATTTGTAAGGGAAAGAGGGGGATCAGCAGAGGGCTAGGACCCCAGCCAGGGTAGGATGGGACAGTGAGAGCTGGTGACAGCAGAGAAAGAGGATGAACATCAATGAGTACCATAAGGTTTGGAGAAACATTTCCCTACATAAAGAAATTTCCAAAGCCAAAAACGTGGAGCTGTGGGGTTGTGTCAATAAGAGATTTTCAGGCTGTACTTCACTCTCTTCCTTACTGATAATAATCAGCCAGACTAATTCTATCCTGAAGGAGGCTTCTGCTATCTTACAGATGACTAACTATTCATTTCCCTACAGGAAGATCCCCCCTGATCTTATGCAGCTCCTGTGACTCCCAAGCTTTTGCATTCCCCTTTCTCATTCCCTTTCTGCTGAGGAATGCCTCTCATTGGCTCTCTGCTTTACCCAAGCCTAAAAAGCTATCATAACCCAATCTTTGCTCTAAGAAGTTGAAGCTGCTCTTAGCCCAAGCAGTCTACCTTAGCACACTAATAAATTATTTTCTTTTCAGTTTGGTGACTCACTTTTTGACTTCTAGTCTCTCTGACCTTGTGATCAGTGAGCTTTTCCTTGGGTTCCCATGGACCCCAGGCTGGAAAACTCCTGCAACAACAGCACGGGGGCCAGGCCTAGAGGCTCTGGTACTGCTTCTGTCTCTTGGCCAGAAAGGATGATCATTGGACCAGGGAGGGTGGAACAAAAGTGACCTACATGGAGTAGCTGCCCACAGGAACAGTAACACAGCTCCCCAGATGAATTTAAGTACCGTGGCCCACTTGAATGATATCCTTCCTCTGGTCCTGAAAGGGAATGGCTGAGCCATTGTCAGTGATGTTTGAAAGAGCTCTGACAGTGGGAGGGGTGCTGCAGGACTGGAGAAGGACAAACATGGTCGCGATTTTTAAAGAAGGGAAGAGAACTAAGTCTGCAAACTAGAGGCTGGAGAGCTTGACTAGGATTCCTGGGAAGCCTCAATAATGTATTATTAAAGAGACCATTTTGTAAAGCTTCAGCTTTGGGTTCACAAACCAGCTTCCCAAGTACATGATGGGGGAGGGCCAGGATTATGATCTGGACATTCTGATGGCCTGGGAGGTCCACATGAGGTAGCAGTGGGATGTAGTAGCCAAGAAAACAACTGTGATTTAGAGAGGTAGAAGAAAGGAAGCAGGGATTGCAAGGAACCAGGAGGGGCCAGGCCGGGCTCACCTTAATCCTTTCTTTTTTCTTGTAGGTTCACTAAATTGGTGAATCAGAGGGTGACTGTAGATATAGGTTAGCCAACAAAGCACTCAATAAAAAAGTCTCTCTGGTGTGCTTGTGGAAAAGAAGGAAAGATGTAGAAGAAGGAAATAGTACAAAGAGGCGAATTAAAAATTAGTTTTTGAATGGTCAGCCTCAGAGGTAGGTGTTAATAATTCAATGTTAACTTGTCAGAAGGTCTCCAGTGGAGTTCCTCAGTGATCTACTTGGTCCTGTGCTGCTGAACATTTTTATCAGTGACCAGGATAAAGGCATTGGTGAGGTGGCATGCTCATCAACCTTGAAGATGACTCAAAGTGGGGAAGGACAGCTAACACATTAGAGGAAAGAACTGGGATCCCAAAAGGCCTTGGGGGGCCAAGAACATTGGACTGAATGTGCAAGATGAAATTTAATCAGGATGAATATAAAACTCTGGATTCAATTTCATTAATTCAAGATGAGGGTGGAACGGTTAGGCAGCAGTCAGCCTAAAAAAGATCTGGGGGTTTTAGTAGTTGTCAGGCTCCCAGTGATAGTCCAGAAACCTGCTATCATCTTGGGTGTCCTCTGTCCTCCGTCACAGTCAGACCCGATCTGGGCTACTGTGTTCATCTCATTTTAGAAGAAGGGAATTCAGGATGATGAAAGGCCTTGAATCTAAGCCATCTGAGAAAAGGTTGAGGGAACTGGGAATATTTAGCCCAGAAAACAGAAGGTTCAGGATAGACCCAAGAGCTATGGTCAGGTTATCTGAAGGGCTGTCATGAGAAGGAGTCAGCCTTGGTCTGCCTGGCCTCAGAGGGCAGAGCCCAGAGCTCTGAGGGAAGGCTCAGAGAGTCAGATTCAGACTTGATGTCAGGACAAACCTCCCAGCAGTAACAGCTCCCCCAGCGTGGACTGACTGCTTTGCGAGATGGTAGGGTACCCCCTCCCTGGGGGCTTCACATAGAGGCTTGATGCCCACCTGTATGGTAGAGCTTCTTTTTGGCTACAGGTCAGATAGGATGTCGATTCTGTGATTCTGTTTCTGGTGTCATCGGAGGAGTCAGGAGAAGCTCTTTGGTAGTACTGAGCTTAGGGACAAGAACACTACCCTCCTTCCCCCCCAGCAGCTGCCTCTTCTCCCTTATTTGTCTGAACTGAAGGCCAGGCTTCTACCCTCTGGTTAGGCCAGGACCACCCCTGCATCCTGGGAAATCCATCATGTCCTTGACTCTGACAGCTACACCTACCACTGCTCATTGGCTAGCTGCTGAGGCCCTTCAGGAGCCTTCTTTCTGGATGATTAAACCCAGAGAAGGAGGGACTGGTCCTAGGGCTGGCAGGGATTGGGCGAGGGTTGGGGGAGAAGGGTAGGACCGCAAGGACACTTACAAAGATGATAGCTGGGGAGACAAAACGCCAGCACATCTGGAAAAAGAGAGGGGGTGGGAAGCCAAGCATCATCTGGATGTCCTGGAAGTAGTTCCGGTGTCCTGGGGAGAGAAGTCATCAGAGACCATGACCACCCTGGAGAGTCTCTGGGAGGGTCAGAGGTCAGGGGTTGGCCCCAGGGCAGCCTGGACACCTACCATAGATGTACATGATGGTCACACACATGATGCAGGAAATGATGACCAATGAGAAGCTGGCAGCGTAGTTGTCCATTAGCAGTAGCCAGTAGATGCCCGCCTGTTGGGGAGAAGCCATGTGAACCATGGGGGACACTACCTACCTCCCCATCCCCTTTCTGCTGCCTAGTTGCCTACCAGGACAGCAGCAGGTCTGCCCACCTGCCCCTGCTGCCTGAGTACATGCCTGCAGGGCAGGCACGTCCCCTACGAGCCACCAGAGGGCGCTGCCTGCCAGGTCTGCCCACCTGCCCCTGCTGCCTGAGTACATGCCTGCAGGGCAGGCACATCCCCTACCAGCCACCAGAGGGCGCTTCCCTGTTTAGCCCCCTGCTGCCTCTGTGCCCACCTGGCTGGTCAGGGGGACCCCTAGCAAGAACCCAGCGATGGCCACAGCCAAAGTGACGTAGGTTTTCTTCTTCAAGATCCATTCATTCCCCACTTCATCCACAACCGCAGTCACCAGGGTCTCCAGAAGGCAGAACTGAAGGGACGTAACATCAAACAGTCAACAAGCCTGTATTAAGCGCCTGCTATGTGCCAGGCACCGTGCTAAGTGTGGGGGATGCAAAGAAAGGCAAAAGACAGCCCTCGCCCTCAAGGAGCGCACAGTCAAACGGGGAGGTGCTGTGCTGACACCACGGACACACAAGGCATGGAGGGATGAACTGGAGGTAACGTCTGAGGGAGGGCACTAGAACGAAGGGGGATCAGAAAAGCTTCTTGTAGAAAGCGGGATTTTAGCTGAGATGTGGGAGAAGCCAGCGAAGGCGGGAGGTGGAGAGGAGGCATGGCGGACAGCCAGGGAAGGTGCCTGGAGTCAGGAGGGGGGGGGTCTTATCCAGTCTCGCTGAATCATAGAGCAGTGGTGGGGGCTGGAGAAGGAGACAGAAGACGACTGAAAAGACGGGAAGGGGCCGGGTTAGGGAGGGCTTTCGAAGCCAGACAGAGGATTTCAAACTTGATCCTGGACATAATAGGGAGGCACTGGAGTCTGCTGAATAAGGGGGTGACGCGGTCAGACCTACATTTGAGGACAATCAGTTTGACAGCTGGGTGGAGAATGGACTGCACTGGGGAGAACCTTGGGACAGGGGTGGCTATTTCAACAGTCCAGGGGCGAAGTGATGAGGGTCTGCCCCAGGGAGGTGGTGGCGTCAGAGGAGAGGAGGGCATGCATTCGAGAGATCCTGCAAAGGCAGAAATGACAGGCCTGGGCAACAGACTGGCTGTAGGGGTGAGAGTGAGGGCTGGAGGATGACGCCCAGGTGGGAAGGTATCCTCAAGAGCAATAGGGACGTCTGGAAGGGAGGAGCGTCTGCAGGGGCGGGGAGAACGAGGTCAGTTTTGGGTCTGTTGAGTTTAAGGTGTCCATGGGACGCCCAGTTGGAGGAGCCAGTTCGGTAGCCGGAGATGGGCTGGCTGAGGGCCCAGCCTCTTCCCCAAGCCAGGTGTTTCTGCTCTGTCCCTTCATACCTGAGTGCCCAGTCCCAGCAGGATGAGCATGAAGAAGAAGAGCAGAGACCAGAGAGGGGAGATGGGCAGCAGGGTGAGGGCTTCTGGGTAGGCTACAAAGGCCAAGCCCGGGCCATGGTCAGCTACTCGGGATACGTCCACACCCAAGTGGTTTGCCATGAAGCCGAGGATGGAGAAGATGACAAAGCCCGCATAAACGCTGGTGGCACAGTTCGTGATGCTGATAATGATGCTATCCCTGGAAGGACCAAGAAGAGACGATGGGCTCCACCCCCCAGCCCCACCCTGGGCCTTGGGAAAAGGAGCCTTGGGTTCCCCGAATCCTCCCTGAGCTTTCCCAGGCCTTTCCACCTGCCTCCTCGCCCTTCATTCCCTCGTCCTTGGCAGGTTTAGTCTCTGGCCTCCGGGGATCTGAGGTGGGGGTGGGGGGTGTCTCTGGCTCTGATGGTTTGCCAGCTATGCACAGTTGAGATTGAGACGTAGAGGTGGGGCTGGGAGAGGCCACCCAGGGATCTCGAAGGCCTGGTGTGGAGTCAGGGGCGGGGACGCTAAGGGGGTGAAAGGAACAAGGTCTGAGGTTCACCTGTAACAATTGTTGTGGAACTTGTTGTATGAAGCCATGGTGATGAGACCCCCCCAAGCGCAGCCTAGGGAGTAGAAGATCTGCGAGGCAGCATCTCCCCACACCTGCGAGGGTTAGGGAGGAGGGCTAGTGGTCACCTGGGACCGGCAGGGCAGAGGACAACTGCTCCTCCCTCCGGCCCCCAAACACCCAGACACCCACCTTGGCCTCCAGGATCTTGTCCCATTGTGGTGTCAGGTAGTACATGATACCTGTGAAGGCGCCTTCCAAGGTGACCCCCCGAACAAACAGAATGGTCAGCACCACATAGGGAAATGTAGCTGTGAAGTAGACCACCTGGAGGAGGGCAGCAGGGAGGTGTCGGCTCAGAACCTATCTCCTACTGGAGAGAGATTCTCAAAAGCTGAGCCCTTCCCATGTTCCCTTGCTTCCGCTCTCCCCATCCTATCACTTCCCCCACATTTCACAGCCCTGACCTTTCCTCACCCCGCCCCCAATCTGGCCTCCCCTGGCTAGCGGAGACCCTCAGATCCCAGGAGGGGCGGGGGAAGGGGCCAGTGTACTTGCTTTCCCTGAGGACTTGACGCCGCGGATGAGGCAGAGGAAGACAACCACCCAGGAGACTCCGAGGCACCCAAGCAGGGGTAACCGCACCTCCCCAAAGTTGCCAATGTCATCTGACAGCTTTAGCACGTAGCGCCTAGAATGAGGAAGAGAAAGTGTCTCTGAGGATGTCCTCGAACCTCTTACTGCCTAGGAAGGAACCCCCAAGGTCCTGCTCAGCACCACATCTCTCCTCAGGCTCAGCACTCTCTGGGAGCAGAGGGTGAGCCTGGTAGCAACCTGGTCCCCCACCTCTGAAGGGGAGGCAATGGCAAGGGGAAACTCATCATCTCCCCAGACAAGTCAGTGCAATGAACATTCACCAGGACCCTTGCTGAACCAACTGCTGCTCAGGGTGGGCAGAATGACAATATTCTGTGAACAGATGAGAGAAGGTAGAACTTTTGTTGTTCATTCATTTCAGTTGTATCTGACTCTTTGTGATCCTATTTGGGGTTTTCTTGGCAAAGATACTGGAGTGATTTGTTGTTTCCTTCTCTAGATCATTTGACACATGACAAAACTTAGGCAAACAGGGTTAAGTGACTTGCCCAGGGTCACACAGTAAGTCTGAAGCCAAATTTGAACTCAGGAAGATGAGTCTTCCTGACTCCAGGCTTGGCACTCTATCCACTATGGTGCCACCTAGCTGCCCAACTCTTACTTGCTTCTATTTTCTTAACCAGGGACAATGATCCTTGGATTGGGAAAAGTGGAATAAAAAGGGTCAAGGAGGAGCTGAAACACAACATAATAAGAGCACAGATTCCCTCAATGAGTCTAGTTCACCAGGCCAAGCCAGACAACGCCACAAAGTGCTAAAAGAACTGTCAGAAGTGATGGGAAAAGAGCAAAGAATGAGAAAAGGACTGAAGGAAATGGTCTAATGGGCAAAAGGGGGATTTTTCAAACTATAGTCCAATGACCTGACTTCCAATTCCTACCAAGATCCTAGAACTCAATATTCTAAAATTTTTTTTATTAATTTATTTTGATTTATCAACAATCACTTCCATAAGCTTTTGAGTTTCAAATTTTTCTTTCCTTTCCTTCCCCCTCCCTCCCCAAGACGGTGCATAATCTGATATAGGCTATACGTATACATTCCTATTAAACATATTTTCCCATTAGTGATGTTGTAAGGAAGAATTAGAACCAACAGGAGGAACCACAAGAAAGAGGAAACAAAACAAAACAGAAGAAAAAAATAGCAAATAACATGCTTTGATCTGCATTCAGACTCCCTAGTTCTTTCTTTGGATGCGGATCGCATTTTCCATCATGAGTCTTTTGGAACTGTCTTAGATCTTTGCATTGCTGAGAAGGGCTAAGTCTATCGATGTTAGTCATCGCACAATGTGGCTGCTACTGTGTACAATGTTCTCCTGGTAGAGCTCATTATTAAAGGGATGATCTGTGAGCATTTAGAGAGAAGGCAGCAGTGATCATCAAAAGCTAGGATCTATCCATCAAGAACAAGACATTCCAGACTGTGCTTGGGTAAGGGCAGCGGCGACAAAGGGATGAGTTGTTCATCTTATTTAATCTTCTATTAACGCAGACTGGGAAAAGGCACTAGCTCTCCTTCGCCATCCCCTTTTTTGCTTCCTGTCTTGCTTTCTCTGCCCTTGTGATTTGGGCTTCTGGGAGACAGACCCTAGTGGCCATGGGTGACATAGAAAGGTGTGGTGACATCATAACCAGCACCACCTTACAGCTTTGCTGCCACGAGAGCAAGCCGCCACATCTGGGAGAATTTTAGAGCCTGTCCCAGAGGCAGAGGCCAGAGCCCACCAGCTGAGAAGATCCAGAAATGCTGAGGCTGACATCCAGGAATCCTACTCTGCTGGGAAGCTGGAGAAGTTGATCTCTTTCAGCCAAACGGTGAAAGTGGGAACGGAAGTATATCCTGATCCTATTTCCTGCTTTCTCTTTGCTCATGGTACAGCTGACACTCCTCTACAAGTCCTTTCCCACAAGCCTCAGGGGTGTGTAGAATCAGGATCCTCCCTCCCTCACCAGTCACACCAAAGATGTGGCAGGGAAATGGGGGGAGGCTACTTGAAGGCCAATGTCTTTCTAGAGAAGTATTTGGTCTGGCTTCCTTTTCACTTTGTTCTATGTACATGTGTGTGTGTGTGGGAAAAGGACTGGAGTTGGACCCTACACTGACAGATGCTAAGGTGTTAAGCTAAATGTGAAAGTGTGTATGTGCCCTGCTTCCCTATATTAAGTGCTAGGGGAATGTTCTTTGGTTGAATTGGAAGGGGCAGTTGCTACAGACTGACTGAAGAGGGGCCATTACCCTGGTCACCTTTACAAAGTTAAGTCTGCCAAGCCCTAGAGACAGTTAGACAGTTTGAGAATTTGAGGCAGCTTGAGACAGGGGCAGCTTTTAGAGTGTAACTCCTGTGCTTCTTCCAGAAGGCGGTGGGGGGAGGAAAGACTTTTTCTCTTCTCACCTGCCATCACCCATGACATCCTGAAAAGGTTGGTACTCTATCCAATATGGCCAATAGATAATATCCAATATCCAACAGAATCTACCTAGTAGCAGCCAGCTCATCAAAGTGTTTGGAGAATCACCCAGTTTGAGCCAGGGAGCAGACACAGATACAGACTCTTCAGACATATTGACACAGGAAGGAAGCAATCCAGGCAAGAAGCAGCATTAAAGAATAAACCTTCTGGGGCAGCTAGGTGTCACAGTGGATAGAGCACTGGCCCTGGAGTCAGGAGGACCTGAGCTCAAACCCGGCCTCAGACACTGAGCACTTACCAGCTGTGTGACCTTGGGCAAGTCACTTAACCCCACTGTCTAGCCAAAAAAAAAAAAGTCTTCTGGCAGCAGAGAACAGAGCTAACTATAGATCCACGGGAGAATTAGCCCTGACAGTTGATAGCCAAGCTGCAGACCGAAGCAGATCCACAGAGCCCAGGATGAGGACTCCATAGATAGGTATAGAACAGTAAGTGAAATTTGCCATGGTCACATGTGTGCCCTGCATGTGGGCCTCACTACTATTTATTCTGTTTTTGCCCACTCCTCTAACTGATACTGCATTTGTGACAATGTGCATCTAGATTTATGAGGAGAACATTTTATTGTTACTGTTACTATGATATCTTAGTAAAATGCTTTTGCTTTGAGTTCGCTGTGTCTACTGGGTACAATAAAAGGTAAACTCACTGATGAGGGATCATAAATTGTAGTTTTAGGAGTGGGTGATGATAATAATAATAACAACAATAATCAGCTAGCACTCATATAGTGCTTTAAGTGCTACTACAAAGTGCTTTCCAAATATTATCTTATTTGATCCTCACAACAACCCAGGGAGGTAAATGCTATTATTAGTTCCACTTTACAGATAAGGAAAGTGAGGCAGAAAGCAGTTGAGAGACTTGATCGAGGTCAAGTACTCTCTCCATCTAGAACCTTGCAAAGTATCACTTTCCCTAGAAATCAATGTATAAACGTCGAAGTGCCATATTGCAGAGGCAGCCCAGGGAGGCTGTCACACACAAGGATAAACTATGTGACCATAGCATGCTAAATTTCTGAAAGTGCCAGAAAAAGAACATTTGTACTGATCAAATCAGCTTGAGAAAAAAGTCTCAGATGAAATGTTAAGGATAGAGTCAGACTGAGAGAAAACTCCCTTTACCCCGATAAATATATTAAGATGGCCAGTTCAAAGGCAGAACACTTAGTGAATTAAAGATGGAGGCAGTGCCCTGTGTTCCATTGGTTCATTTGAATGCTACTGTTTTCAAGGTTTTTTAAGGTTATAAATGAGATATTATAAATCAGCTTTTTAAGGACTACAGGAAAATCATATCAACATTGCCAGGAGTCTTGCTTGACAGAAAGGTGAATTTTTTGAGTTTTCCATTATAAGTTAAAAATGGGTCACTGATTACAAGGAGGCCTTGATTTAAACCCTTCGAATCCAAAAGAGTTAGGAGGGGTAAGTGATGGTCAGAGGAAGATGGGAGAATAAGTTGAGGACAGGGGAGTCAGGAACTGAAGACTCAGGAGAGCAGTTGCTTACAGAAGACAGAATTTTTTCAAAGCAGATATTCAGGGTCTGCTGTGGTTTTGCTGAAAGCCATGCTGATTGAAAGAAAGACATTGCTTTGCTGAGAGCTGATGGGCTGGAGAAATGAAGGATTATGCTCTAGCACCATCAACTGCCTGAGAGACAGGAAACTTCTCAAGGGTTTGCCTGTGTTGCCCTTTACTGCCCACCTGTGGTTTGAGAGGGAAGAATGATAGGCTTTGCTATGAGAAGTTCATCTTTGCTGAAGACTGATTGAAGACCTAAGAAGTTTTGTAGTTCTCCAGCCTTAAGGGATTACTTGTCACTGAAAGAGTATAATTCTTTCTCAGTACTCTACCAAGAGTGGCTGCTGCATAAAAGGGCTTGTTATTGCTTCAGGACCTGGGAGTAGCAGAGAAGTAGCTTTACTAAGCAGGGAGCAGAGAGCAGAGAAGTGGTTTTTGCCCAGCAATTAACACATGGCGAAGACTGTTCTCTAAAGATATCAAGTCTTGCCATCCAGAAACATGAGTTGTCTTAGGCACATGGGTTTCCTTACTCATGTGCTTTTCTGCTAGGTTTCTACTGTAAGCATGAGATCGCTCTCTCCCATGGACAGGCAAAGTGATATCACTGGTAACTCTCTACTAATGCAAGAGAGTGTCAATGGGACCAGAGACAGGACATGAGCAGCTTATGATGCTCAATGTCTGAGGCAGCAAGAACAGAAGCTTCCTGTGAGAAAGGCCCAGAATAGGCAGAAAGCCCCAGGGTGAGAACCTTTTGGGATCAGCTACACAGGAGGCAGTGACTAGCACAGTGCAGATGGTGTGGTGCTACCCAAACCAGTGCTATAGAACTCATACTGGGCTCTGAGATCCCTAACACTCTTTCCTTTGATAACAGAGTAGTGCTCTGAGATGCTGAACCCCAGAAGGTGGAACTCAGTGAAAGAACCCAGGGCAAGAAGAAACAGGGCCCACCACCCCACCCAAAAGTATAGCAGGTGGGCAAAGCCTGGCCTTGGCAAAAAAGCCCCAGTTCAGAAAATAAA